TCCTAAAGATCTTGATAATCTTTCGGAACGTTGTAGCATCGATCTGGCAAAGCCTTTGCTGAACTTCAGAAGAGGTTTGCTTCCTCTTGAAATCAGTGACTGAAAAATACATAGGGTTGTGTATCAAGACTATATACGGCCGTCCCTCCTTCCTAATTATTTTCTAATTACTCCATTCTCCATCACCACTGGAATAATCGAAATGATTTTCAACCCTTCTTGGAAACAAAACAGTAGTACCTGTGGACTGACAAACCATTTCTTACCCGCAAAGAGTATCTATATAAGAGATGCATACTGTGATTACACCTTTACCCACAGGAATTACGGAAGATTGCCCAGATGTAATTCTAAACAAGCATGGACCAACTTTAATCGTACGAAATCGTCATTGCTCCACACTGAACTACCCATGCCATTGAATATCGAACTGTTTCAGTTAATCGTTCTACATGCGATGATCCACGGTGCTGAATGATGGCTTTCTAATAAAGCCTATAAGAACAAACTATACATAGATTGTCCCGGAGAGACATCTGGCACTATTTTCACTCAGTCACTGTCTGTGTGATTATCAGTTTTATTTCATCGCCTCTAATAGTAGAAACGCAACATTTAGCACAATCTATGACGATTACGCACCGATCGATAATTAATATCAGGTTCTAATCGCTGACTGTTTGCTGCCTGCCTCAGTCCCCCCAACAGTTTACACGGCCTATGATAACCCGAGCGATGACAGAGCCGATATAATGCATGATATCGACCACACCTTGAAAGGAAGGTTACTAAGCTCTGCGGATACTTCGTCGCGGTCTCACACAAAGTAAATCAACGATATGGCAAAAATGAAAAATATGTCATAGAATCACATTCAATTCACATAACATGCACAAAGATATTTGGCACGATGGATTGCTGCATGGGTAAACTTTATTTATGCTACAAACGACGTAAAACATTTGTGTACAGTGCCAAGGCTTCGGTTTTTATTTCCAGCCTTTGTCAGTTACAGTGAGTAAACAGCAGTAAGGTCATATACGATTGTCAAAACCTAATCAGTGTTGCTTTTTTCTCCTTTTTTCTCGTCGGAAGGTCACATAAGACTCGATATGACGGACAGAAGTAAACGCTCTCATTTCTGTTGATGACATTTGGTCTTGCGTGTCTTAAGGGATTACCCGCAACCAACCTTTCTTGTTGTTGTTGCCAATAGTTGTTATAATGTTCGGGTGAATAAAATGCACGGTGTGTTCAGTGAAAATTTTGTGAAGAGCCCTATTAACCTTTTCTGAGCATCATGTTTCCTTGATTGCTGGGCTGATGATGGTATGTGTTCTTTCTTGTTTTACCTTCCGAGTTATAGTGATCTTGTGGTTTGAGCAACGCAACATAGCTTGCATTCTGTGCAATATACGGAACCAATTACATTTGGCAATTTTGTATCGTGTTTCGCCAAATGTGATCAAAATTTTGTTTCTAAGCTTAGGATTCTGATTCCTATGTTTTCCTTTCCAGACACACGTCTTATAAATTTTTAAATTACGGGAACATGAGGCATGCAGACAGTCTGAGTCAAAGTAAGCACTCGCGTTCATGGTCGACGTTGCTCTGCTTCCTTATTGCCATTTGATTAAGTTGGCGTTTGCCTGTTTGTCAGGAGAACTTCTTTCACATGGGGGTTCGATGCTGAAATTCTATTGGATCTGGTGTTAGTTACAAGGCTTATAACTGAACATTCATTCCTTCTCGCATTAGAATCGAATTTCAAGTAGTGTTCATTTGCGTAAGTTTGCTACATACCGACCTCTTTTGTAATACGTCATTTTCCGCTTACTTTTTAGTGTGAGCGAAATGAGGATCTGTACTCTTCGACTCCCACTGCGAACTGGATTGAGAGTATTTAGGTATTGCAAAAACCTTGGTATCGCTAGTTTTCACTATTATAAATGTGCCACCATGTTCTTTGAGGTATAAGAGAGTTACGGAGAGCTTCTTTCGAACTTCCTAATGAATATGCTGACAGCAGTTAGAGATCTCGAAAAAGTCATTGCTGCTGCTGTGTATATTGCTTGGCCTCAGAAGAAAAACGTCTTTTCCATACAAAGCTTCGGATATGTAAGCATTTTCTGTTGGTTAATCTTTGTGCGATCGCTTTAGGCTGAATTTCTAATCAGCTGTTTTCAAGCCACAACGATGTTTCTTTAATGCACATGAGAAGTTGTAAATTTCATACAAGCTGACCGTCGTTTTATTGTGATTGATCTCTAGGTTGTCTCATTTGTTTTGAAATATCTGGAATCTTGTATGAAAGTGTCTGACTTTCCGACGAGGTCGATTAGAACGCCGGTAATGTATTTTGCCAAGCTGTGAGAGACTTGTTCCACAGTAAACAACCAGCAAAAAACTACTGTCGTCTTTGTGAATCTTCACTTGCCCGTAGAAGCGTGGGGGCATGATCTGACTTAGGGCTGATTCCGTGGAATTGTGGACTACCCAACTACTTCCGTAAAGATTGCAGCAGTGATCAATGAATATGATGCATTTTCTGACAAAGGTCTTCAGATGAATCAAGTTAAAAACATTAGATTCCAGTTTCCATCGCGGAATAAGCCTTATTGATGCTATCCTCTCTAGTATAGTGGCAACCTATTCTTGCTTCTGTTTTTTTATATTCATTTAGAATCACCAAAAATCCAACAACAGTGGAAAAGCGATTCTTCAGCAAATTTCCACCAGGAGCAGCATCGAATATAACCACCCAAGCATATTATCAATGGATGCCAACTCAACAGACCGGTTAGCTGCAGAAACGCTTTTGTTCTAGACTACATCAAAGTTCATGAACAGAAATGAGAGATTTTTCTCGTCCGGAAGAAACTTATGTGAAACTCCGATAAGGAATAAATGTAAGGGCCGGTAACATCTGCCTAAACGTTGGTCCCGCATACAAAAGTTTTACACCGTGTTCATTATTTATAGGATATTAATACCTAACCTATAGGCTTTAGTCTCCTGAGGGTGGAAAAGTGGCGCGGATCCAGCTCTGGGAGTTTGAAGCGGTCTTGTCTCAGACGATATCTGTCCGCGACCAACACCGCACGGACCACTTCACTTATTTGAATCTGTTGGGATGAATGTTTGAGGCGATGGCAATAGGTCATGAGGGTTGGTACTGAGTTAACAACCAAATACATACTGGTCTAAAAAGCGCTAAGACAAACGGAAACTGGGAAAACGGGTGCATCCTAGCAACAAATTCAGCGCTAGTATATTACTGGCTTGAAAACACCTACGACTAGGTAAACCACAGGGCGCGATTGATAAACAAACTCGCAACGTCATATAGGCCTTCGTGGCAAGCCATCGTGGAAGAACACTATCAACAGATGCATTTATTGATATATACAATACGGAAGCAGAGAAGGTCAAGGAATCTGTCATTAGAACATGTGAGGCCTGAAGTGAAGCGATCAATTATTCCTCGGAAAGGACGTCAAGAATTGAGCTCGGACGACTGACGTTTGATTCATAACAAAGAGTAGACCACTTGCAATGAGCTATGTCACTACTTAATCTCTGAAAGCTATTTTTCTCTTACATATAAAATAATTACAAAGTATCAATCTTGCAGTTCGACCCAGCAAAGCGAAGATGACGGGAGTGAGCAACTCGAAAAGGAATTTGAAGGAGCATTGCAATAGCGAAGACAGCGTACTTGATTGTCCAAAGAAACTTCAATACAGTCCTATGCAAATAAATGAACGACAAGGAAGTATTGATCGGTAAATATGGAACAGACAAAAGAAATTACATGGTGATCGGTTGATATCTTTAGCCGAACCACGTCATGAACATTGTTCTTCAGAAGTCCCCAATGCAACAACGGACAATGAGACGCCCAGGCAGACCATCTTTGAAACATAACAATTGTGTACTGACAGACAAGAAACGATTAACATAAAATATGTTAGTTATATACGAGAATATTATCTATGCAAGGTCAGGCCACACGCCTTTATGTTTCACAGTTATTACCGACGTCAAAAAGAGGAGCGGATCAAA